GCGTTCTGGCCGACATTGGACTTCTTTCGCTTGGCGAGGTCATCGTAAAGAACCCAGCAGACTTCGTCGGGAACGTCATAGGAGGCTCAGAAGCCAACACCAAAGCCATTCTGGCTTCCACAGTCGGTAAAGTTCTCATCATCGATGAGGCTTACATGCTTGCTAAAGCTAGCGGTCCCAACGGCGGCGACCCTTTCAAAGCCGCAGTCATTGACACCATCGTTGCCGAAGTTCAGAGCACCGCAGGCGAAGACCGATGTGTGTTGCTGCTAGGATACAAGGACCAAATGGAAGACATGTTTCGAGATGTCAATCCCGGCCTTGCGAGGCGGTTCCCGTTGGAATCTGCGTTTGTGTTTGAGGACTTCAATGACTTTGAGATTCGTCAGATCTTTGACTTCAAGCTCAAGGGCATTGGATTTGATGCGAAAGACCAAGCCAAGAAGGTAAGATGGCATATCAATTTTGATGCATTACCACTAACATGTTTCATTCTAGGTCGCCATGGAGGTCATTCAACGCGCGCGCAACCGTCCAAACTTCGGCAACGCAGGCGAGGTCGATATCCTCCTGGATCGCGCGAAGGCGTTACATCAGAAGCACATATCCTCGGGCAAAGTCAAGCAATTTGGCACGTTCGAAGCCATCGACTTTGATCCTGATTTCGACCGCGGTACTCGTGCAGCAACCGAAGTTTCAGCTCTATTCCAAGATGTCGTAGGGTGCGAGGATCTGATCAAGCAGTTCCAGGGTTACCAAACCACGGCTGCCAACATGAAAGCTCTTGGAATGGACCCTCGAGAGCAGATACCTTTCAACTTCCTCTTCAAGGGGCCGCCAGGTACCGGCAAGACTACTACGGCTGCAAAGATGGGCAAGATATTCTACGACATGGGCTTTCTCAGCCAGGCGAAAGTGGAAGAATGCTCCGCTACCGACCTGATCGGCCAGTACATTGGTCATACTGGGCCGAAGGTTCAGAAACTCATGGAGAAAGCCCTGGGGAAAGTTCTTTTTATCGATGAAGCCTATCGTCTTGCGGAAGGCCATTTCGCGACCGAAGCAATGGATGAGATAGTCGACTGCCTCACCAAACCCAAGTATGCGCAGAAACTCGTCGTCATTCTGGCTGGCTACGATAAAGATATTGACCGACTGATGAGCATGAACCCTGGGCTCACCAGTCGCTTTCCCGAAACAGTCATGTTCAAGCATATCGACCCAGAAACATGTCTGAAGCTCCTTGTCAAAGTACTATCGGATCTGCAGAAGAAGAAGAAAGCGCCACTCGATCTCTCGATCATCGATCCGCCATCATCGCAACTACGCCAGCAGCTACTGGACCTCTTTGGCAGGCTATCGGTCCTGGAGTCATGGGGCAACGCTCGCGACGTTAAATCGCTCGCGAAGAGCATGTTTCAAGCACTCATCTCTACGGCCGTGCCTCCCATCACTAGCCTCGTCCTCACAGAGCCCATCGTTGTTCGCACTATGGAAAGCATGGTAGATGAACGTTCACGGCGGCATGCCGCAGCAGGCACGAGCCGGTCAGGAAAGCGAACGCCCAACCACCCCATGCCCCCACCACAGACTCAGAACCCGACGCCGCCTAGTGCGCAAGGCTCAAACACCTCGACAAATACCGCAGCCCCACCACCAACAGCCGGGACCAATACGGACAAACCGGAAGACGACAAGAAGCCAACCGAAAAGAAGACCGAGCCCGCAACAGAGCCTGAAGACCCGTTTGCTTCTATCTTCAAAGTCAAGCGCGACGCAGGTGTTTCCGACGAAGTATGGGAGCAACTCGAACGCGACAAGCACGCTATGGTGGCCAAAGAAAACGAATACCGCCAGCTTCAAGAAGAGAAGCGTCAGTATGAGGAGCGAATCAAGGAGTTCATCCGTGCCGAGAAGGCTGCTGCCGACGAGGAGGAGCGACGTGTTCGAGAGCAAGCGCGTATCGCTGCAGAACTGGAGAGGCGACGCCGTGATGAGGAACTGGCAGCCGTTGAGAAGGCGCGACAAAAAGAGATGGAGAGGCAGAAGAAGCTGAAGGTAATGGGACCATGTCCGATGGGGTACATGTGGATCAAGCAGCATAGCGGGTATAGATGTGCGGGTGGGAGTCATACGCTGTCTGACGCCCAGATTGATGCGTATTGTCGCTAAGAGAGGATGGATGGGTTATAGATGGCAGAGGGGGGAAAGTCGATCGAACAGTTCATTTCTCTCGTTGCTGTCTAAAAGCAACATAAGAAAATACCATTTCTTATCAATTGTTCCTCCGACCATTCACCACAATATTACCCCAAATATCTATTCTCCTCAACGGAACACTTGCGACATTACACTCCTTCGCCAAAGCCGCAGCCGAACTCACACCCTGCCCACGCTTATCCTCGAACTTGTCCGTTCGTGGGCTATCAGGCCACTGGAAAGTCACCATGATATCGCGACTAGCAGCAGCCATTTTACTCGCTTCCATGAGCCCATCCGCCCTGTTTTTACCCATATCCTTACCAAACTGCTGCGGCGATAACGGAGTATCGTCTTGCAGCTTGATACTCTGCCCATAGAACACCAGCGGTAGAATGCTATCTTTCCAGATTGGCACGCTATGCCGTCTTCTCCAGTTTGTAATATTGACCCAAACGGAAAGAATGCATGTAGTGACTGTAAGACAGATCGGGAGCAAAAGCCATTTCAACCGCATTTCCACGCACGCTTTCGTCTCCCACGCGAGCCCATACACCACATCCAAAGGCGGGTCGTGCGCGCCGTAGCTGAAATCCCGCGCTGTAGCGCTGCCGTACTGGAACCGGAAACGATTAGTCATGGCATTCGCCACGGCATCGAAGAGTTTCGTAACATTGGCATGGCTCGAGCTGCCTTCTGTTTCTACCAGCGGCCGCAGTACAGCATTAACGCCTATATGCGCCAGATTAGACTGACTTTCCAACTGGCAAAACTCGCTGTTCTTGCAGTTCTTGAAGCAGTCAAACGTTTTATACGACTGGCAATACCCATCGAAAATATCGTCATTCATAACCATAGCGACCGCTTTGACGAATCCGGCTGGTTGCCGGTAAATACACTGTTCCGGCCACGTCATATTCTCAAACGCGTATTTCTCGTGCGTGAAGTCGAAGAGCTGTAATTCCGCTGTTGCGGTGCCTTCGGGGATGAAACCGCCTGCGTATAGCGTCCAGGGTCCTACGCGACACGGCTCTCGGCGTGTTGTGTATTCGTATTCCGTGTTGGAGAGGCTGTTTTTGTAAGTGGGTAGGTCGAGTTCTTCGTGGTGGGCGCCGCTGATTTGGAGGCGCATGGCTGAGGAGGGGGCTTCCCATTCGTGGAGCTCGTTGTCTTTGATTAGGCTTTTGTAGGTGCGTGTGCATGGATACAGGCTGCATACTGAGGCGGTGATAGGGGTACTGGCTATGTTGAGGAGGGTTGCGTTGATGTAGGCCCATCTGGATGCTTCTCTGACGCTGTCGGTTAGGAGACTGCCCATCCAGGTGAGGTCGGGAGTTGGCTTCATGGTCGAGACTTCGAAATGACTTGCTCCTACTGATAGGTTTAAGCCGCTTGGCAGAGAGTGGATGGTGTTGTTACTCCACTCTGTACTCTCGATCTCGCTCGTTACTAGAGACGCCACGTTCGTGCACGTGTTGCACACTCCAACTGTCGAATGCATGCTCTGATTAGAGTCGAAGAAAGCCTTCTCCAGCTCTGGTCTGGGACCAAGCACACTGAACGTACAGTTCCCCGTGGGGCAACTTGTGCGAATTTTGTTCTCGATGCCGTAGGGCGATACAACACTGGATAAGATTGCGGCAACAAGGTCGGTCGTAGGGCCTCCGTCTGAACCACCTGTAAAAGGGATGTAGCCACCACTCCCAGGTACCGTATGCGCAAAGGGAAGTGATGCATTAAGTGTAGCGCTCGGAAACGAGCACGGCGCCGCGCCATTAGCCTGCTGAGCGAAAGGTCCCACCAAGAACGACAATAACAACACGACCGCAGCAGCCAGTGTAACAAAGTCCTTGAGAAAAACAGTCGGAATGAGAAGCAACGCCCCATAAGCCCCGCGGCTACCGTGGTCGAATCGCTGGATATCTGACAACGGCCGGGCACTCGTGACGCTGAACCAGTCCCATTTCCTTTGCGATATGATCTGCGCGACGGTGACGACCAGTAGAGCTCGCAGAACTGTTGATAAAAGCGCGATGAGAGCGTTGAGATTGAGGTCGCCGCCCCAGTCCGGTACGGGTTTGCCGTCGTATACTGCTAGGATGCCTGCGATTGAGGCTACCAAGCCAATTGCGCAGGCTATAGTGAGGGTTTCTCCGGCCCAGGTGCGGAATACGTAGCAAGACTCCATTTGGATTCGGTCTGTAAAAGGTATTGGACAAGTGCGAAGACGCAAACACGTGTGGTGCTATTGGAAAGTGCGACCTTGAGGTTAAAGGTTGACCTGCAGGGCTCTCTGCAAGGAGTCACGCGACCCTTCGAGCAGCCAAACTACGCACTCGTACCTGCTTCTCTTTGTCTGCTACGGTCTGGAGATGCGGCCGCAAGGACTCGGCTAATACATCAGTCGCTCTACCAAGCGTAGTCTGATAAAACGTAACAAAGAACTCACGTCATAGCCCTGCATGCGTCCGTTCCTGTGTGCAGCGAGCCAATTCGACATTTTCACTATCTTATACAACAGGATCATCTCGATTGAGAGACTTCGCATGTATAGAGATTTGTAGTGGTTTGACTTCGCTGAATACATGTAGAACTATGAACGCACACATCACATTATACAGTATCTGAGAGGTGTTCGATGAGATTCTGGTCGCTGAACCGGCGAACTACCTGATGTTGTATACTCTTAGGTACATGATAGTCAGAAATTCCAGCTCAAAATGATCCAGCGTATTCCTCCGCGGACTCACACGCTACTGCGCCGCCATCTTCTCCAGCCAACGTGGTCGCCCACCAGCCACTTACTGCAGTCGCGTCGACTCTATTAACCCCGGCGGCGGCTGCCTAAAGTTCCAATCGTCATATAGTTTCTTCCTCAGATTATTCCACAGACAGACCAACTCAGCCCCTCTCCATGTAGAAGTGTAGTCATGCGCCTGGAGTGCCTCGCTCAGCGGCTTGGCCATCCAGTCCATAGTAGTAGCTCTGCTGTACCCCAAAACGCGCAGCTCTTTCCTGCCGAGCTTTCCGACTCTAACTTCTATCGGAGCACCCATATCGAGAGTCGAGATGGTGAGAAGGTTGCCGTGGCCGTCGATCCAGAGATCAGGGGTGTTGAGTTCGAGAAGAGCTTTCTCGGTAGTGGGATCGGGAAGTTCAGGCAAGCCTTGCAATTTCTCAACCATGAATTCGGATAGGAGGATAAATACTTGTTGTTGTAGCTTTTCCGTTAAGATGGTAGTGGTTTGTTGCGATGCTCCTGTGTCAGGAGGTAGGGTAAGTGTTATGCGGATGGTGGAGGCAGGATGGAGTTTTCGACTGAGGAGTACGAGTATCAAGACTTTAATGTTGATACGAATAGCGCCGAGGATGTCTATCTTGGCGGGCGCGATTTCCAGTACGATGGTCTGTGGAGTGGGCTCTTCCCAGTGACCTAACATCTCATCTAAGACCTCGGGATGATGGCGCCTGTTGTGATAGAGGCTCATAAGCTTCTGGAATCCGTCGAAATCTGTAATGGTCTTGTTGCTGGTCATATTTACACTGATCCGGTTCACACGTGATGCAACTATTCCTGCGTTGCGCACGTGGACTAGACCTGTCCGAGCAATATCGAAGTCGAGACCATGTATCGTGTGTGATTCCAAGTCAATTGTGACTCCATCTGGTTGGCGTAGTAAGAGCCCTGCTATTCGTTCTCGTATGTCCGTTGGTAAGTGTCCAAAATGGTAGCGCCCTTCATACGGCTCCCACGGCTTCCATTGAAGAGGTTTGCCTTCATCTGACGTGAGGAACTCCTCACGATCTTCCTCGCTCCCGTTCCACATACTCACGTAGCTGTTCTCTTCCTCTTGCTCTTCCGGACGTGTGATTATCGAGACCGCACTCATGAGGCGATTGGAGAACGAGTATTTGCGTATGTCGAGGACGTCTTCTACCGCGAGAGCAGTAAGCATGTTGTTGAGCATATGCGCTTTATCGTTCCACCCTCTACCCCTGTCAACCGCTTCGTTTACAACATCTGGGGTATCCGGTATTTTGCTAGCATCTCCGAACGAAATGATCTTGAGGAGATCTGGGTTCTTCCATATCAGGCGTAATAGAGGCAAAAGTTCGATCCTTTCGCCACACGAGCAATTGGGGTGCGTGCACATCGTATTTGTATCGATAATGACTTTCTTCAGGCGGGAGAATTGTGATCCGATTTGCTCCAGCCATTTACAGGCATAGTTGACCTGGAAGTATTCTTCGTCGCCAGCCATATGTTCGTCACCCCCATCGTCACGATCTTGGACTCTAGAGATTACGAAGGTGTTGCCGCTGTATAGAATCCCAGAAGCTTCATCATGTACCTGGCGGCAGGACGATAACAAAGCAAGCCCCTCGTGAAGGTCATGTCGGAACTCCGTGTCTCTCCCGACCTCATCTTCGTACCAGTGATAGTAGTCCTCTAAGTACCTATTTGAACTCAGAGGCTGGTGATATGGCTCGTGGAATGCATCCGCGTTATGAAGTAGGACTCGATCTCCGCGCTTGAATAGTATTCCGTACACGTAATTACGAATCTCGGGGGGTAGCTTCGTAAGGAAGGACACCGCAGATGGGTCGGTCGGTGACGAGGTGCGAGCTGCAATAGTCTGCATGACTTGAATATCGATCGATTAGTCGGAGTGCTACCAGTGTAGTCGGTAAATTGGTTCGCTGGTTGACGGTCGGCAGGTCAAGAACAATGTGTACTTGACAAGCAATGTGTATATCGATCAATTGGTCGTGGTATTGCCAGTGTAGCCGGTAAGGTAGAGTGGTGCTTAATAATACGCGAGTCATATAGGCAGGCGCGTTGGGGAAGAATTAGGCTACCACTCCGACTACGGAAAGAGCGCACGGACTGAGGATATTTGTGACACCATTGGGAAGAGACCGTAATCAGGCGTTGCAACAGACTTGGCAGGAGGGTAGATTATCTCAGATACTATTCAACCCGAGCGAAAGTATATGGGCGCAGTTGACTGGGCACATGGTATCGACATCTTATGACGGTCGTCCTGAGAAATTCCAGCGGTAAAGTGCTCTAGCCCCTTCATAGTAGGTCTCATGGATCTTCACGATGCGCAGGTCGGTCGGTCGATGGCCGTGTTCACGATGAGGGTGGGCGCTGGGAGGTGGCCGATGGGTCGGTCTGCTGGTATCGATGCATTGTTTACGAGTGGGGGACAGAAGGCGAGAGAAGCCATCGCCAATGAGCTGTAGACAGAAGGAGCAGGTGACCTGGTAATGGAAGTGACCATATTCGGAAACCGCGAAGTACAAAGTTGCATTTCCTATGGAAGGTGCAGGCCGCTGCCGACCATGGTGCATACGCCTCACCACCTTACCAACGCATAGCCTCTGTGCACATTGTATTCAACAGGGTGCGTTATGCCAGGGAAGCGAAAAAGCAGGAAAGCGCCGCAGTCGAGATGATGGCAGGAGTCGAAGTCCCACGAGACGAATGAGGAAATGGATGCAGAGCAGGAGCTAGGCGAGCCTAACCGCAACGGTAGGATGACGAAAGCTGCTGACGTTGTTCTTGTTGGAAAGACCATACTTCACCAAGCAGTACACGATGGAGTCGCGGGGTTGTTAGCGACTACCCTGCGTGAAGACGTGAGTCGTCCGTGCATGACGCGTTCCGAGGCGCATGCACAGCAGATCATCAACACAAGACGGGCGCATCTCGCATGTGAAGGGGCAAAGACGCTTCGCGAATCTTGTGAAGGCGGAAATACGACCGTACATATCTTCACGCGCAGAAGATAGAATTTGCCTCCATGTGGCGCAGTGTACAGCCACAGCGTTGATTGGCCGAGTCCAAAGCTCCCCGTGGCTGAGCATGGTTACGTCAGAATGCCTGTCGCAAGCGCGGCGTCTCGAGCAGGTTGCACATGGGCAGTCGACTCCCTGTCGCTTGCATTCCATAAAAAGGTTGTTGCTCCTGCACTCATACACCGAAATAGAAGATACCCCTCCTGCCCATATTCCTCGAAAGACACCTGACCGCTCCTTTATCTCGCCTTCACCTACCAACCTACCTCGATACCCCGCGAAACACGTCTCGCAAGCATGAGCGGCCATGGAGATCCTCGATTGCTCTACACAGTCGGCGGCATTAAAGCCTACCACATCCAGCAGGGCGAGGAGAGCCCTCTCACACCCTCAGGGCCGCAGACGCTCTCGCTGCTGATGGTCCCCACCAACTCGCCCTTTGCAGACCTCAGCAACACGCGCGGCCAGAACGAAGCGCCCGAAGAAGACTTCTACCTACACCTCAACCTCCCCCCGGAGCTAGATCTCCCCCTCCCCGCGACCACACAGATCTACCACCAGCCACCGCGCAGCTACCTGATACCGCGGTGGGACTTGGGCCCAGAGAGCGGCGCCTTCACACGCATTGAGTTCCCGCCAATTGGCAAGGGCTCGACATCGGTCACGCAGGAAGATGTGGATACCTTTGAGACCATCTTGGCACAGTGCACAGCCTTCCTCGAGCGTGCGCAAGCCCCCTCGCACGAGAAGGGCAAGGGCGACATCAAGGCATACAACCCCCAGGACTACCAGCCAGGCCAGGGCTACGCAGGCGCTGTGAACAATGGCGAGGTCGTCTTGGTCGACGAGGAGAATGGCAGCGTCGTCGGTGAGCTAGCCGAGGGTGCCATGATCCACGCCGACCCAGCATTGCAGCAGGGATCCAAGAGTATGTCATCTGAACCTTTTCCGCGCGCGCAGGCCACTCATGCTAACACAGGTCAAGATCCCGTCGAGATTGTTGTCTCGCCAGACGGCAAGCGCATCGACATCCGACCGCTCGAAGAAGACTACCTCGAAATGGCCCGCCATCCCGCATACAAAGACTCTGGCCTCGTGCAGAACGCCGCCGCCGCATCTCGCCTTGTCGTTACCGGCTCCAGCTACCTTAGTAACATGATGGTATCCGGTGCCGAGAACTTCATCAACAAGACGAGGCCGAACGAGAAGCCCATGGTCTTCAAGCCTGCCACTCACGAGCGCGTCCGCAAGATCAACACCCTCACAACCGGCGTCGCTGGCTACTCAGCCAAGACTGTAGGCCAGCTTACCAAGTACGCCCAGAACGCTGCAGCAGGAATGGCAGGCCACAAGAAGACACACGCCAAGAGCGTGAACCCAGACGGCACGCCCAACACAAACTACAAGCCAGGACTGTTGAACAAGAGCTTGATCGCCTTCTCCACAGTCGCTGACGGCATCTCGCACTCGGGCAAGCAACTCCTGACCAGCAGCGGAGCCGCCGCCAGCGCCGCCGTCGGCCACAAGTACGGCGCCGAAGCAGGACAAATCACCACCAACCTCGCCGGCGGCGTCAAGAACGTCGGCCTCGTTTACATCGACGTCACGGGCGTCAGCAGAAAAGCAATCATCAAGTCCGTAGCCAAGGGCATGGTCGTCGGCAAGGTCAAGGACAAGAAGGGCAACGAGCAGACCGTCATGGTGGGCGGTGGTGATGGCGGCACCATCACGCCCAGCGACTTGAACCCAAACGTCGGTGTGTCTAACAACAATGCCCCTCCCAACCAGTCTAGCACTCCTACGCCTGGTGGTCAGGTTTCGTTTGGTGGTCCGCCGCCTAGTTACCGTCAGGGTGTTGGTGAGTCGCTTGAGGGTCAGCCTGCGTACTATCCTCAGGAGAAGAGGTAGGGTGGTTTATGAGATATGAGGTATGAGGTTACGACATGGAGCGACTGGCATCGCATGTAAAGAGTCGAAGTAGCTTTCTTTTCCTAGTTCTTTTGTGTGCTGTCTGCTGTTCTAGCGATATACACTTTCAATAACAGATGTTTGCAAAAGTTCATCATGTTCAGGTCTTTTCACATTGAGTTTAATCTGACCTAGTATCTCTCCGTTCGTTGTCTTCCCGTCACTCGGACCGAGCGCCTTTCTCTCCAATCTAGCAAACTCAACAACGTTAAAGCTCTCTTCCAAACCCTCCGCGGAACGTAACTGCTCCGGTACCTACTTTCCCCCCTCGTGCTCCTCGGAGCGAAGAAGGTGGGTACATGTCCTTGCCGCAGCCGATCGTGGAAAAGAGAGCATAACGAAGAAGAAGGGGGCCAGGGCGAGTTCATCACCTAGTACCAACAAAGCAGTACTATAATATACACCCTTCCCCTTGTAAGCCGTAGGAGTCGAAAATCGCGATCTCCTCGAACCGCAGAAGAGTGGGTTATTGTGGGCTCTATAACAACGGCGCGGGCAGCTGTAGAGGGGACAGGAGGAGATGACGGTGAAGAAGGGGGCCAGGGCGAGTAGGGCACATATTGATGGTACTATAACATGGCGCCATAGTCGTCAAAGAGCGATCTCCTCACAGCACAGCAGCGAGGGAATATGAGAACTGTGGAGCGTAGAGTATGATGATGAAGGAAGGGGGCCGGGGCGAGTACTGCACATATCGACAGCAAAGACTCTACTATGATGTGGCCACGTAGGAGCTAAAAGAGCGGTGTTAACCCCCAGGGGCCCTTTCATGCGTTAAGGGTCCCAAGCGGATGGTTCGCGTAAAAGGCGGTGATGGTTCGTTACAGAGTCCCGAGGCCGCCGGAGGATTGAGGTAGACAACTGACTCTTGTTACTCTGTGCTTCGTAACGGCGAGGTCGGAGTCGGTCGGAGTCAAGGTCCCCCGTTGTACCGACCTCCCCGTACGGCGCAGTCTCGTCTCGGTCTCCGCGCATCCCGTATCTCGTATGGCGTCTCTACGGCGCAGTTCAGGTCGAGTCGAGTCGCCTACTCTGTTGTTGCATTGAAACTGTCCTATTGCAGCCAAAACACAGTCATGTACTTTCTTCGGATGTCTCGTACGAGTGTGATGGCTCGGAAGATACCGATGTAACGACAATGTGGATCAGTGGAGTAAGTCCATACCTTAAACTTCCCTTACTTCGACTCAGACTTCCGTGTTAAGACTGGGAGGACTTCCCGCTTCAGAACCTGCGGCTGAGTCGAACGTTCCATCACGACTCGTCACCTATATTATTACTCCTTCGGTTATTACAACGTTCCGGGTACCGACCGTCGCCTGTCAGTGACCGTCACGACACCTCGGTACTGTAGATCATGACGACTCAAGTCACTTATTCGGCACGGCGCTTACTTCTAGAGTCATTCGAACGTTCCATCTCCATGCCCCCATCACATCTGCCACGACTCGTCCCTCTATAA